TGATGACATTTCCTCAGGAATGTAGAGCATCCTTTATTCACTTTCGTATTCTCCACAAGATATTTATGAATCAGGCCATGATGCAGGTTTTTCAAATCAAGGAAGTGCTGAAAGATATATATATACTATTTTGTGGTATGCTGCTGTGTACCACACTCTTAACAGTCTGTTTTGTATCCTGTTGTGGTACAGACTGTATCAGAGGAATTCATGATTTTTCAAGGTTACTGGAAAATGTCATGTTTCTTTATCAGTTAAGTGACCTGCATGGATATCCAGGACACGTGTGTTTCCATAATAGAACTAATAGGCATCACTAGAGTACAATAGTATCTTGTGCCCTGATAAAAATACATAAATATTATAAAAACCTCCCTTGTTTGTGAATATCCCTTTTACTCTCCTATATCAACTATCTGTCATTTCCACAAAACAATTTCATTATTTTATTATTGAAGTCAAGAATACCACTTTCATTCAAAGAGGATGTCAATATGTTTATAAAAAGAAGAAAAAATGAAATCTAAAACTGCTTGCAAGGTCAGCAAAGAAATCTAGGGAAAAATACTGTTTTCCCTGCAAGAGCCCCCTAGTATACTGTCTAGATCCAGAGAAGTCATGCTACCCGTCTATTCTGCCTTAGTCAGACCACACCTGGAATACTGTGTCCAATTCTGGGCACCACAATTTAAGGGATATGTTGACAAGCTGGAATGTGTCCAGAGGAGGGCAACTAAAATGATAAAGGGTCTGGAGAACAAGCCCTATGAGGAGGGGCTTAAAGAGCTGGGCATGTTTAACCTGCAGAAGAGAAGGCTGAGCGGAACATGAAGGCCATGTATAAATATGTGAGGGGAAGTGATAGGGAGGAGGGAGCAAGACTTGTTTTCTGCTGCTTGGAGAACGGAGATTGCACCTGAACATGAGGAAGAACTTCCTGACTGTGAGAGCTGTTCAGCAGTGGAACTCTCTGCCCCAGAGTGTAGTGGCAGCTCCTTCTTTGGAGGCTTTTAAAAAAGGCTGGATAGGGTGCTTTGAATTCGATTTTCCTGCTTCTTGGCAGGGGGTTGGACTGGATGGCCCATGAGGTCTCTTCCAGTTCTATGATTCTAGGTCTCCAGCCACCTCTCATGGCAGTGAGTTAGCTAAACCACCTTCACCCTATTCCCCAGTGTCACTAAGGGATGACACACTGTCTGCCACTTAGTCAACGGTGAAAGAAGACCTGAAGCCCTACATCTCTCCTGAGCCAAAACCAGTCCACTGGTTATTCCAGTTGACCCTTCCCCTACCCTACACTCCACCCACTTGGAATGACTCTCCCTGCTGGTTCTTCCTTCCAAGGACATCCTTGCTAATTCTTCATCCAATATGTGCAGTGTGTGGTACATGTACTGTTGTGCAAGCTTCTAATTTAGAGGGGGAGATGCAGTAACTTCATCTGGTACCCTTCCAATAAAGTCCTCCTGACTCTTTAGTACTACCAATACTTGTGGAATAAAAGTGACATGTGCTGCAGTTCCATCTGCCAAGGGTGGAAGATGCTTCCAGATTGTGCATTCTGCTCCTCACATTGCAGCAACCTATATTTCCTGTTAGCGCCAAATAAAAAACATATAAAATATTAACTCACCTGGTACTCTTTGCGGGAGAGTGTTTTTGTAGAACTGAGCAGATTAGTTTGGATATTTATACTTTTAGATGGAAGGATAGACTTTCCAAGGCAGAGAGAGAGAGAGAGAGAGAGAGAGAGAGAGAGAGAGAGAGAGAGATGCTATGTGATCTGAAATTAAATGATGAAATTTGTCAAGAAGATATGCAGGTAAGAGTCTCATCATTTTGTCACAGTAATGAAAAGGCTGACAGCCGAGGAAAAGCTTGATTATTGTTTTTACCATTTTGAATGGTGTAGAAAGAGTAGATGGAATTATTTCTCCCTTTATTGCATTGTATTATGCAGGGAGCCAATCAGTCAATGAAACAGGAAGAGAAAACAATTTCAGGAGAAAACCAGTTCTGTTTCACAGAATGCAAAATAATCTTGTAGAATCCAATTTCTACAAGATATATTATTTCTCCAGCATTGGTAAACTCAAAACCAATGGGTAGTATTAACCCTGGTAAGTGGGATGAGCAACAAAACATTGCAAAATAGACTGCTTCTGTTCAAGTTCATATCTGTTCCATTTCAGTCTTCCTTGTGCAACATTTTCTACTCCCTCCATTTCTAAAGGTCTCTCTCTCTAGAACTAAGGGAGGCCAATGCATCTTTAGAGTTTGTATAGAAGCGGGATTTTTTGGCAGTTATATTATGACAAGCAAAATGTGCTGGCATCCTTCTCCTACACAGCCATTAAAGATACAAGAGTTCTTTCCATTGTTCATACTGACAATCCTACTTCTGTTGCTGGTCATGTACAGCTATCATTGGTTTGTTTGATTTTTTTCCTCATCCCTGAAGGCTTTCCCCCCAACAGGAACCTTGAGATAATGCTATATTATGACAGAGCACCATAGAGGGAAATAGGCCCCTSTGGTGGTGCAACGGGTTAAACCYCTGAGCTGCTGAACTTGCTGATTGAAAGGTTTGCAGTTTGAATCCAGGGATTGGAGTGAGCTCCCGCTGTTAGCTCCAGCTTCTGCCAATCTAGCAGTTTGAAAACATGCAAATGTGAGTAGATCAATAGGTACCACTTCTGCAGGAAGGTAACAGCACTCCATGCAGTCATGCTGGCCACATGACCTTGTAGGTGTGTACAGACAACTSTGGCTCTTTGGCTTAGAAATGGAGATGAGGATCACCCCTCAGAGTCAGACACAACTAGGGCTGAGAAGGGCGGTATACAAACACAGTAAATAAATAAATACCAATAGGATGAGCCCTGCAAAGGACAGGTGGACAGGAAGGAAAAGGGGAAACGGATAGCATGAACCAACATTAACTTCACTGCTAAGAGCTAGTTGATTGACAGTGGAATACAATGCCTTGGAGTTTGCTGGAATCTTCCTCTCTGTAGGTTTTTAAACAGAAACTGGGTGCCAATCTGTCAGGAATGTTTGAATTGTGTATTTTTATGTGGCAGGGATTGAATTGGTTCTCCCTTGTGTTTTCTGCGAACTATGTTTCCATGATTCTATAGTATATTTGATTATTAGCTAAGGGTGTATCCACACTGTCGAATTAATCTGGTTTAACACCACTTTAACTGCCATGGCTCAATGCTAAGGAATCCTGGGAGTTGTAGTTTGATGAGGCACTAGCACTCTTTGGCAGAGGAGGTAAGAGAATTCGTTAAACTACAGCTACTCCCATACCATAGCACTGAGTCATGACACCTTAAGTAGTGTCAAATTACATAAATTCTATAGTGTAGATCATGCATGGGTAACTTTGTCCCGCTAAGTGTTTTGGACTTCAACTCCCACAATTCCTAACAGCCTACCGGCTGTTAGGAATTGTGGGAGTTGTAGTCCAAAACACCTGGAGGGCTGAAGTTTGCCCATGCCTGGTGTAAATGGACCCAGTATTGCAATGCTTGAAAAAAAATGGCTTTGGGGATTCTTTTCATTTTAAGTCTTTTTTTCCTCCAAGATTTCACTTCTAGAAACCAGGGTGTGGATCACACTCGTACCCAGGGAAGTCTTTAGAAATAATAAAAATATTCTGATGAGCTTCTAAAAGAGTGAAATATGAGACAGAGAGGGAAGACCTAGTCTGTGTTTGATCAAAATATATGTGGCTAGGGATGCTAGCCCTGCCTCCTCCATCATGCTTAATCACTCTCCTCATGTGAAGAGCAAGATTTAGAGCAGGCAATCTTGGCTCTTAAAACTGAGCAGTTTCCCTATGGGTTTGTGTTTAACATTTCCCAGATAATCTTGAGATTTTGAAATGCTGATCATTTGGGGACTTGCTTAGGAAATCCTTATATGTGTGTTATTTTCCTCTTCTACCATCTAACAGAAGTTTTAAATATGCAGCCCTACCTTTTCCTATTGGTATTCAATGATCCTTTTCCGGGTTATCTGGAAAGTAAGGTTACAAGATTTTTTTAAAAACAAATAATGAATATATTTTAACAAAACTTTACATGGATTGTAACATAGCTTTTCCATTATTTTTCCACATAATTACCATTTAGCTCAATACATTTTGTCATCTGTTGGACAATGCCTATGTCACAGAAGTTTCCCTCTGCCTTTTTCAGCCAGTTTGACACTTCAATGTTTACCTCCTCATCATCAGAAAAGTGTTTTCCACCCAGGTGTTCCTTCAGTTTAGTGAACAGATGATAGTTACTGGGTGTGGAATCGGGGCTGCGAGAGGAGTGGCTTAAAACATCCAAACCACATGAAGTCAACAACTCTTGTGTTGCATGAGTGGTGTGTCAGAAGGAGACAGACTCTTGGCAGCAGCATCCCACGATGTTTGTTTTGGATGGCTCTGCAAAGTGTCCTTATGTTCTCACAATATATTCCATACCTATTTTGTCACATGCTGTCTTGACATTATGTCCTCTCCATAAACTGAAACGATTTCGCAATGAATCTCAGTGGCATTAATGCCCTTAGCATTTAGGTAGCATATTACAGTGCAAACTTCGCACGTGGCGGGAAATGGAATGAGAACGCTCATCTCTAACCTTCACTGCAATACCAGTCAATGAGCTACTGACGACTGGCACTGCTCGTTCTCTTCCACTGGCTTCCTGCTACAAAGCAGCGATACCGGCTTCCCCCACAAAAATCCCCCACGAGAGCTACGTGCCTTTAACCTTACTTTCTGGATAACCCTCATACCATGCACTTGAAATGCTTCCTGCAGGGTGAGCTGTCTGCTGGATTAGATTATAAACATCTCTGAGGCAACAGAAGAGTGTCTAATTTCATGTGATTATTTTTGTGCCATTTCTTTGTGAAGTAACCTCCCACACCCAACCAACTTATTAGTGTTGACAATACCTTGCTCTAAATGGCTCTTTCTTAACTTTTCTCCACAGACTATGCAACAGATGAGTGACCACCGCTATGACAAGCTTACAGTTCCCGATGATAATGCAGCAAACTGCGTATATTTAAACATTCCTGGCAAAGGTCATATTTTGTTGCATCGAGCCCCTGAGGAATATCCAGAAAGTGTAAAGGTAAGAAACAAATGCTATTCCCCAGTCCTCTAAGGTACCGACTTAAGAATAGTTATGAAGGAGAGGAATAGGAATGTATTGTTCATCAGACCTCCAAATATGATGCTATAATGGCATGAGGAAGCCAGGATTTTTTTTATCAAATTGTGCTCTTTTATTTCAAAAAAAACCTCTGGCTGAACAAGATGATTCAGTGATAATGGTTAAACCATCTTGATATGGATTTCTTTCTCTTTTGAATTAAATGAGGGTTTTTGTTTTTTGTTTTTGCTTGTTCCAGTACTTGGATATTTTCTATATTTCTATATGTGTTTCTAGATGTGATTTTAATTAAGTAATTTAAATTAATTTAATTTATTTATTTAAAATAGCAATTTAATATTTTACAAATAACACACATATAATATAAATATTATATAAATGTAGATATGTACACACACACACATATATTTGTATTACTCTATATTTATAATTAGGCTCTCTGGTGGCACAGTGGGTTAAACCGCTAAGCTGCTGAACTTGCTGACCAAAAGATTAGCAGTTTGAATCCGAGGGGTGAGTTCCCATTATTAGGCCAAGCTTCTGCCAACCTAGCAGTTCAAAAACATGCAATGTGAGTAGATCAATAGGTATTGCTCCAGTGGGAAGGTAATGGTGCCCCATGCAGTCATTCTGGCCACATGACCTTGGAGGTGTCTACAGACAACGCCGGCTCTTCAGCTTAGAAATGGAGATGAGTACCACCTGCCAGAGTTGGACACGGCTAGACTTAATGTCAGGGGAAAACTTTACCTTTAAATAATTAATTTATAATTACTTAATTAATTAATTATTTTTATTATAATAAATTAATAAAATGCAAGCAAAAGTAGAATTTAACAGTCCCACAAATGCAAAACAAAATAAAGAGTATGCATGCTCACAGTAATTTTACAACATTTCTCTGAATAAGTGCTGAAATGATTGTAAACATTGATAGTTCACTAGAAAAGCCACTTTTGATTCTGGATGGCCCACAGCTTATCTATACTTTAGGTTGGCTTTTGTTAGCATGGTGGCATTTGTTAGCACAGTGTCTGGTGTCAAAACAAAGGTCTGGTGGGTTAGAAAATATGCTGAGAGATCACACAAAGCATCTGAGAGGTCTTTTGTTTCCTCTCTGTCACTCTCTCCTGGTGCTTTGTCTTTCTGCATGACAAGGCCAGCCCTGGCTAAGATTTATGGAAATTCTGTTTACACACAAAACCACGTGGCTGCTGAAGGTCTACCACCCATCTGCATCCCTTGAGGTGAAGACCTTGCTAAATATCACATTCAGCATTATTCATCACATATGGTCAGAATTTCTGTCCTGGCCCATGGACAAAATAGCACATTTGTCAGCCTTCTGTCCTTGAGGGACATTACTTACTGGGAACCATATCAAAAAAATGCTTGCTGTATAAGTATGCCAAACTTTGTACTTTTTACCCAACGTGCATGCTATTAGGCTTAACTATTCTGCAATCTCTTGTTGAAATATTTTACAGTAATATAATAATGAAGAAATCCTTAAATTTAACACTGTTTCTGTTTTCTTTTTCCGATGCAGGTTTTTGAAAAACTCAAAGACCACATGTTGATCCCTATCGCTAACACAGAGCTGGGGAAAGTTGATGGGGCGCTCACGTGTTGTTCTGTGCTTATTAATAAAACTTCACAATTATGAGTTTACAGATGCCACCCCTTGTAACTGGCAATAACATACATGCAAGGTAGATAAATTTGTATAGACTTTTTTTTGGTTTCTCTTGACAATCTACTGTACCACTGTGCTACTAACCTTTGTTTACAATGGTGCCCCTTCAAATGGTAATTAAGGTGCACATATATGCTCCCCTCCCCATGTAAACGAACTTTGAAGCATGTTTGTCTGGACTTACAGAGACATTAGGGTCAATCTTGACTTGTCTAGTTGGTGTGAAACTAGTCTAAGAAATAATAGGGCCGCTTCTGACGTTACAGGTTGAGCATCCCTTATCCAGAATCCCAAATTAATCCAAAATTGCCCACACTGATAACTGAGATAGTGACACCTTTTTTTGTCATGGCTCAGTGTACACAAACTTTTGTTTCATGAACAAAAGTATTTCAAATACTGTGTGTAAAATGACTTTCAAGCTATGCATATAAGGTGTATATGAAACATAAATGACATTTGTGTTTCGACTTGGGTCCCAACTCCATATGTAAGTATGGATCCAGACACTTCTGGTCCCAAGCGTTTCGGATAATGGATACTCTACCTTTACTTTTGAATGTGAGAAATCTTAAGACCCTTATTTGATGACAGCAGAAGTGGGCAACTATGACCCCCAGCTTTTGTCCCCATGTGAAGAATGGCGGTGCAGCAATGAATGAGGGGCCATAGCTGCCCAATTCTAATTCATAGTGATCAAATTTATCCCCACATAATCATCCCTTGCTTTTTTTGCACATTTCACCCCCAAAATAAGTCTTAGGCCTGGGATGTCCAAAGTGTGGTGATGCATATAGTTCTCCTAAATAGACATACGGTCTATCAAAGAAAGTGTCGCTGTTTATTGAGCCTTCTTCTATAAGCCGGTTTTGTGAGGGTTTTCTGTGCCCAACAGAATGGTGATAGATGCCATTCTCCTGAAATACAAGTGACTCTTGGTCTTTCTGTTTATGAATATCATGGAAATGTTATCATGCTTCCATTCGCCTTTCCCACTGATCCACTTCCTTTCTATGCCTGGGGATAAATTCACCCAGCTGTGTTGTCGAAGGCTTTCATGGCTGGAATCACTGGGTGCTGTGAGTTTTCCGGGCTGTATGGCTGTATGACCATGTTCCAGAAGCATTCTCTCCTGACGTTTCACCTGCATCTATGGCAGGCATCCTCAGAGGTTTTAAGATCTGTTGAAAACTAGGCAATTAGGGTTTATACGTCTGTAGAATGTTCAGGGTGGGAGAAAGAACTCTTGCCTGTTTGAAGATTCCCCCAAGCAGTAAGCAGCCAGACCTTGAAGCTGAAAACCTATTCAATTCTAATCAAGGTGGCCAATTACAACATTCACACCTAGCTTCAACAGACAAGAGCTCTTTCTCCCACCTTGGACATTCCATATAAACCCCAAATGCCTAGTTTCCAACAGACCTCACAACCTCTGAGTATGCCTGCCATAGATGTAAGCGAAATCTCAGGAAAGAATGTGTCTGGAACATGGCCGTAAAGCCCGGAAAACTCACAGCAACCCTGTCACCCTGTTTTTCTTAAAAAATAAAAATAAAAGCAACAACAGCCATGGGAGGTTTCATATTTGAAGAGAGGTGTGACAGAAGAAAGGACTTCCGAATTCTTCCTCCTCCCCGGATTGTTGTTCACAATTATTCACCAAGCAGCAAAGATCACTGTGTCTTTTCTCATGTGAAAAGTAGCATGGGGAAGATTTTGCATGGACCTAGAAGGGAAAGGTTAAGCAGCCCCTTCCCATTTAGTGGCTGTAGTTACCTTCAACCCTGGGATGGGAGGAAAAGGGCTCAGAGGCCCCTTCTACACAACCAAAGAAAATCCAGTTAATCTGCTTTAAACTAGATTATATGGCAGTGTAATGTGGATTATCTGATTTAATAATATGGATTATATGGCAGTGTAGAAGGGGCCAGAGTAACACCTCTGCCTTTAACAGAAGACAACTATCCACTGGGGTGGTGGACGATTCCCTCAAAGGGGACAATTGCAGTTATGTGACCTCAAGTCATTTTGCCTCCTTTTGACTGAGGGAATGATCATAACAAAGGTGGTGTATCTGCATTGAATTGGACAGTTTTGCGCCTCTTGGAATCCATCTGTTGGGAATTAAATCTTTAGGTCCCTTTCATGGTTCTTATATCAGTTCTTGCTTCAGCTAGTTTACAAGATGATTATGAATTGTGTTGTCAAAGACTTTCGTGGCTGGAGTCACAGGGTTGCTGTGAGTTTTCCAGGCTGTATGGTCCTGTTTCAGAAGAATTCTCTCCTGACGTTTCACCCACATCTATGGCAGGCATCCTCAGAGCTTGTGAGGTTTATTAGAAACCAGGCAAGTGGAGTTTATATATCTGTGGGATGTCCAGGGTGGGAGAAAGAACTCTTGTCTATTTGAGGCAAATGTGAATGTTGCAATTAATCACCTTGATTAGCATTTCAAATCTTGCTGCTTCAAGGCCTGGGACCACCTAACGCAGCATTGCCCAAACACGAATCAAGGAACGTGAAAGGCACTGCAGACTAACTCAACCAAAGAAGTCAGCCATAGCAGAGAGCTTGATGAACCAACCTGGACACAGCATAGTATTTGAGAACACAGAAATGCTTGACCACTCTAACAACCACTATGTCAGACTACACAGAGAAGCCATGGAAATCCAAAAGCATGTGGAAAATTTCAACAGAAAGGAAGAAACCATAAAAATGAACAAAATCTGGCTACCAGTATTTTAAAAACTCTAAAACCAGGACAATAAATAAAGAACAACATTCTGAAAACATGAAAATTCCAGACATGAAACAATCATGGCCAGCTAACTTCTTCCAACAAAGGATTCCCCCAGGCAGGAATCAGCCAGGACTTGAAGCTACAAGGTTTGCAATGCTAATCAAGGTGGCCAGCTGTAACATTTACACTTGCCTCAAGCAGATATATAAACACCATTTTCCTAATTTCCAACAGATCTCACAATCTCTCAGGATGCCTGCCATAGATGTGGCCGAAAATTCAAGAGAGAATGCTTCTGGGACATGGCCATACCCAGTGATTGTGAATTCTTCTTAGAGCAGGAAAGTTATTCACGTTGCCAATGCCCCTATTCTACTTTCTCCTTCTTATTAACTGATTAAGTCATTCACATAAATGGAATCAGGGAGGCTCAGAAGGGCCATTTTAATTAATGAAAATGGTAAAGCAGTTGGTACTGACTCTAGCAATGGGTTAGGAAAGAATAATGCAGGAATCGGCCACAGTCTTAATAATTTCTGCCACCTTTCATTACTCTCCTCTTATTATTTTTTCCTTCCCGCATATGCTTCTCTTTCCTTATTTGTCTTTCACGGCGCTTCTTTTGCTCTCTCTAAGAGATGCAAATTGTAAGTAACTCAGAAATGAATTCAAGAGCATCATGGGCCTGGGCTTCTGTGTTGCCTCTCCTACACACCAGCCTCAGCGTAAGATTTACAGTGCTCATTATCCCCCAATACCATGTTGCTGCTTGTGCCTCGGAAAGTGCGTTTCAAGAGAGTCGTGAGTAGAATATATTGCACATTACAAGCGGCACTTGGGGGGGGGGTGTTACTGCAGGGGAGGATTGAAAGGAGATTTTTTTTCTGGGAGTCTTTGAATTACTACTACAAGGTCTCAACCACTTGGGTTTTTGTCCTAGAAACTGACCTGGGCTTTTTAAACTCATTTTTTTAATCCAGGAGAAATAAGCCTTTTATGTCAATGTGAATCTCAGAAATCATGTTCTGACACACATTAAGCTGGCCTTAACAAATGGTGCAAAAACATTTTTTTCTTTTTTTACTTTGTTATACTTTGTTTTTATGAGATATTGTTTCTTCTAAAACACAGCAGCACAGCTCTAGCATTCTTTTCTCCTCAGAGCCAATGCTGAACCGAATCTTGAAAGAGGCGATAACAAAAAAGATGGTGGGAAAGCTGATTTTTTTAAACATATTTTGTATTCTTAACAAGGAAAACCCTTGTCTCCCAACAGCATGCCATGACTATTCTAGCAAGCCATTCAGGTTCTTTCACCTGTAATAATGCATATATTGGGTGCTTTAAGAAAACCTCCAAGTGTATGAATGTTTACTATGAAATTCCACTGAAATATATTTATTCTGGCCAATTTTGCAAGACACTTAAGGCCTTAGTCATATGTTTTTCACCACAGACATGAAAAGAATTGGCTGTTGTATTTGCATGAAACTTGTAATGCCATTTCAAAGAATGGGGGGATTAATTTAAGTAGCATTAAGGATTCTTCAAGAGCTGACATATGGCTTGAGAATTTGATCAGTTTCCTGGTTAAGTCAACTCTTTTCTGGTGCTACTGCTGGCAATTGGCCGAAGTGCAATTCTCAGGAAGTTCAGAGTAAGTAAGAGAGGAATGTGCCACTGGAACGGTTTCATCTAACCATCAACCGATTCAAAAATGTATTCTGGTAAATATAATCTTGTGGCCTTTTAGCAGAATTAATTATATTTTAAAGCTCTCTGACTAATGACTGTTCTGTCCCTTCTCCCATTTCATGGCATTTCTCAGAAAGTGAGAGGCATCTTACTCTTCTGTCTGGTGTTATGTTCCACCAAGTCAGAGGCCCCTTCTAAACCACCATATAAAATCCAGATTATCTTCTTTGAACTGGATTATATGGCAGTGTAAACTCATATAATCCAGTACAAAGCAGATTATCTACTTTGGTTTGTGTGTGCGTGTCAGGAACGACTTGAGAAACTTCAAATTGTTTCTGGTATGAGAGAATTGGCTGTCTGCAAGGACAGTGCCCAGGGGATGCCCATATGTTTGATGTTTTACCATCCTTGCGGTAGGCTTCTCTCATGTCCCCACATGGGGAGCTGGAGCTGACAGAGGGAGCTCATCCACACTCTCCTCAGATTCGAAACTCCGACTTGTTGGTCTTCAGTTCAGCCTGCACAGGGGTTTTATCCATGCACCACCAGGGGCTCCTCTACTTTGTACTTATCTACTTTGGTAATTTGGATTATATGGCAGAGTAGAAGGGGCCTGAATGGGTTTAGATGAGTTCACATGATAAAACAGTGCAGTACGAGCCCTGTATTGGCTATCCATCATTTCTCTTAGCCACATCTGCCAAAATATGTTCCTAATGGCAAATTCTTATAAAGAATATATCTCCAAGGATTTTCTATTCCCTCCATCATGACTCTTCGGTAACTTCTAGCAGAAATAGTTCAACTCAGTAGGATTCACTATTATCCACGATTTCTTGTTTCCATGGTCAATCCAGGAATTGGATGGATACAGGGATTATGCTATATTTAGAGTGGAGTCATTGCTTAATACATCCAATTGGGATTTAATATGGGAAAGTTTTATCTCATTAGGAAGAGTTGGTTTATAAGAAAAACTACAGCAATTTTGTGATATTTCCCCCTTTAGAACAATAATAATGTTGATTGTGTAAACTCGGCCCTAAACTATTCAGCAAGGCCTCGTCTCTTTCCAGCTAAAGATGAGAGATGTAAACAGAGTCCAAAATGCAGAGTTCTGCTTTGTTGTTGGATTTTAAAGTCCTTTCTACTAGAAGGAATGCTAGAGCAGCTATTTTTTGGCCCCTTGGCATGGAACTAAAGTCTGGAAAAAAATCCTGTGACTGATACTTCCCATAGTTTTCACTGTCCAACTTGCAGACCCATAGGGTCAGTAGCTTTGCAATAAAGCATGTACATATCTTTCTCACTGGGGTCCATTAGATCGTGTCTGTTGTCTCCCACTGCCGTGTTCTTGTGGTGCCTCCCCATGCTTGTTAGCCAGAGTAGAAATATTGGCATGCCATCTGTTGAGATCAATGTGTTTCAGATATGATATAGTGACCTACATTATTTTGGTGATGTGTTGCCTCCGCTGAACTTTGGATTTCTTGTTAAAAACTTTTTACATTGCAAATCAGTGCATGTCTACTCAGAAGTAAGTCCCAGGTACACATATAAAGTATTGTCCCAATTGTCAGGTAGAGTCATTAATTGTTTTTATTTATTTGTGAATGTTTATAATATTTTTCAAATTCAGTTTCCAGAGTGGTTTACAGATAAAAATAATCTCAGTATCGGGTGTATGGCAGTTTTAGGGTTGCTAGATATTGTGATTTATATTGTGATGTTCCAGGAAATCACTGCCATGTTCTGAATCAACATGGAGATTTTCTGAATTTGAAGAATACAAATAGTCTTTGAACAAAGGCACTTGTCCTTCATATTTCACTGAAAAGTACATCCACGTTCTCATTATTAATTGAGATCTATACCCCTTACTGTCCCCTCAGCACCGACATAGATACAAGTCATTTAGAACATTTTCTATATGTTTTTAATTGTATTTATGACTGTTGTGGCATCAAATTGCTGCCAGTTTGTAAGCCCCCTTGAGTCGCCTTTGGGCTGAGAAAGGCGGGATAGAAATACCGTAAATAAATAAATTTGAATTTATTATGAAAGCATATAAAAGGTTCCTCTCTGAGGTTCAGATTGGATTGGATTGCCAGTGGAAAGCTGCTGCCAAAACCAAAAGTCTAACTCTCTTTTGTAATATCTAGAAACCTGTGATGCAACATCATAACAATAAATGGAGCCCCCGGTGGTGCAATGGGTTAAACCCTTGTGCCGGCAGGACTGCTGACTGAAAGGTTGGCAGTTCAAATCCAGAGAGCAGGATGAGCTCCTGTCTGTCAGCTCCAGCTTCTCATACAGGGACATGAGAGAAACCTCCCACAGGATGGTAAAACATCCGGGCATCCCCTGGGCAATGTCTTTGCAGATGGCTATTTCTCTCACACAAGAAGTGACTTGCAGTTTCTCAAGTCGCTCCTGACATGAAAAAACAAATGACAATAAATATCCCTGGATGTTATGGGAAGGGAAGTATTGATCAAAGGGCAAAATGCACCTTTTTAAAGCACTTGCTCTATAGAGATCTAATTTTTTGCCTTAATTAATTATTTATTTAATCATTTATTTATTTCTGAGTAGCCTCCCAGCAAGGGCTGTTGAGGCGATGAACAAATAAAATCCAATTAAAACAATATTGAGAGTAAATGGAAACATTTTAAAAACACATTTAAACTCATAAAAGTAGCCTAAAAGCAGTTCTTGAATACAGTTTTGAAACAGACAAGACAGCAATTTTAAGCATTGAATACCACGAGGGACAGCACTGTTTGGGCTACCTGCTGGAAGCTTTGAAGAGATGGGGGCAGCCTAACTTCCTTTGATGGGGAATTCCACAGTTGAGGTGCTGCTGCATAGAAAGGCCTGTCCCGCATTACGTGTAACCTCTAACATAACCTCACAAGGTATTGGGACACGCAAGACGGCCTCCTCTGAAGATGTCACATTTCACCCAGGCACATGTGGGAGGTGGCAATTTGGGGCTTTGGGAGTCAGCACCAGCACGTTGAGTCAAACTCAGAAGGACGTTGGAAGCCAGTACCATTCTTAAAAGACTAGTGTTATATAGTCTATAAAATGCACACCTGACACCAGTCTGGCCTCTCTGCATTTGGATCTAGCTGCAGCTTCCAAATGCTTTAGGCACTTTGCCTAAACAATAAGTAATTGGTTTAAACCTCCACTTAGAACTGAGGCTGGAGGCCAGCCATACTGTTGAATAAC